TAAATAAAACACATTGTACATTTATTTCTGTTTGAGGAGAACAAAAGTTATCTTTTCACCATCATTTAAGTTTAGCTGCGGTTCACAGAGTTTATGGCGGTTGTGCAACTGATGTACTCTGTGACGTGTGTGTGTGTGTGTGTGTGTGTGTGTGTGAGTGTGTGTGTGTTTGCAGGATGGAGAGCAGTTTGTGAAGAAGATCAGAGGTGTGTTTGCCTTCAAGGTGAAGGACGGGCCGGGAGGAAAGGAAGCCATCTGGATCGTTGATGTTAAGAACGGAAAAGGCTCTGTTCACAATGATGCCGGTGAGTTTGTTCTAAATGCAGACAGTATTGAACTCTGAACAGATGACATTTTCCAGCTGTCCAAAAGGCTGTACAAATTGTTTTTTGGGGTCATGGGTTGAAGGAGAGGCTTGTTATTGTCCCCAGAGTTTGACAAGTGTAGTTGACAAGTGACAACCTTGTTGATTTACAAGGTGTAAATCAATTAACAAACTGAAATGAAGTAACAAACAAATATATAAATGTGATTTTTAATAAATTATTTATAATTTCAAGGGCATTTAAAATATTAAAATAGTAATGAAATGTTTTAAATTAATACAAAGAATACGTAATTACCAAAATGGCTTCATTTCCAACACAAATTATCAACTGCTTTTTAAATTATTTAAAAAATGTAAACAAAACACAGTAATCCGTAATACACAATACATAATTAACAATACAATGAAATAATATATTTTAAATAAAGTATATTAAATAAATACAAATTATACATTATTTATAACATTTAAAAAAAGTTAATTGAAATCTATTAAATACAAATTATGCATAATTAACAATACTATTAAAATAAAGCAGCTTTGAAATTACTTAAAAGTATATTGCATGAATACCAATATACATAATAAGCAATTCTTTAAAAAACTTTTGAAGTATTTGACTTAAAATATATTGAAAATATTGCAATTAAAATGTATTAAGTGAATACAAATTATACATAATTAACAATACTATTAAAATAGCAGCTTTTAAATGACTAAACAATGTATTAAATGAATGCAAATTATACAAAATTAACAATTCTATTAACATAACTTTGAAAATGTTAATTAAAGACTATTAAATGCAAATTATACATAATTAGAAATGCTATTAAAATAACAGCTTTTAAATTATTTAAGAACTTTTATTAAATCAATTCAAATTATACGTAATTAAAGGGATAGTTCACCCAAAAATGAAAATTCTGTCATGAATTATTCACCCTCATGCTGTTCCGAACCTGCGAGACTTTCGTTTATGTAAGACCTGCGTCACAGTACTCCAATGGGCATCCTATGACCCCTTTAAGTGATTTAATGTTTGTTTGTTTTTTAAGTTATTTTTTAACGTTTCATTTGGAAGTAAACTAGCATGTAAAAGTTTGGAGTCAGTAAGGTTTTTTTGTTTTTAAATAAATTAATACTTTTATTCAGAAAGCATGCATTAAGCTGATCAAAGTGACAGTAAATACTTTTTATACCTATTAAGCGTAATAATAAATCTTTCTTGAGCAGCAAATCAACATATTAGAATGATTTCTGAAGATCATGTGACACTGAAGACTGGAGTAATGATGCTGAAAATTCAGCTTTGATCACAGGAATAAATTACATTGTAACATATTCACGTAGAAAAAAAGTTATTTTGAATTGTAACAATATTTCACAATTTTACTGAATTTTTTAGTCCAATAAATGCAGCCATGGTGAGCAGAAGAGACTTCTTTCATAATAATAAAAAAATCTTATCTACCCCAAACTTTTGAACAATAGTGTCAAATTATACAATTAAAATGGGTTGCAAATGTCATTTCATGCTGACTTTTAAACAGTATTGTCCTGGAAAATAATACTAGGGAACCCTAGAATGTCTGAAAAAGCAGATCCCTGACATTTCCAAGTGGTTTGTATGGTTATAATTATGATTTTGGCTGATTAGTCTCAGTTTTCCTGTTTGGACGTACCACAGAGACTCATCCCACATGAACCCAGATGGTTTTCTTTCCTTACACTGTCCTGCGTAGTTTTTTTTTTTTTTTTGATGCGTTAAGATCTGCATGTGGTGGTGAATTCAAAGCGGTATTGTTTTTAGCTAGGAGAGTGCCTTTTTATATCAATCTGTGATTCACAATTGAATAAAGGAAATGTAAAGTCATTTTCTGTTTCAAGGTCTCTCTGTAGAGGAACATCAAGGTTGAGCACTTAAAAGCAGAGTTCGTGTAGCTCCCACCCTCCTTTTTGTACATTGTCTCAATCCACCTCCTGTTTTCCATGAACAGTTTCTGCACAGATGCTCAAAAGCACTCTCTCCCCACTCACTTTCCTTTTCTAATGCTTATGGCCCACATTGAGAAAGAGAGATCATTGTGAGGCTCCCCATCGGGAACAGAGAGAGTTTCTTTAAATTTCCACACCTCACCACCCTTCATGGAAAAGCCACGATGGAGCGAAAGATGTTTTTGACCCCTGACTGATCAACAAGCTCCAGTGAGAGCGTTTAAACTGACCAACCTGAACTGGTTCAGTAACCAAGTCCACAAATTACTTTTTTTTTTTTAGCTGGAGACACATTTTAAATGTGGTCTGTTTTTTTTTGTTTTTTTTGTTTTTCATTTATTTATTTTTTTAGTTCAGATTTTTACACCATACATCCTGAGACTAGGTTATTGTAAGGAAAATATTTATTTAATTATTGGGAAATACGGGTTTATCAAAACGAAAACAAACCATGAAAGTGCCATTGTTTTCCTATTTAAATCTCAGCATTCAAATCTAAAGTGATTGATCTTTTTCTAGTAAGGACTTCTTGGATTTGACTTGTTTTTCTTTCTTAACACTGATAGCCACCTTTGCATTCATTATTGTTTAGTAGTTATTAGATCTAGTGTTAAATTGTGATATTACGCCACCACAAAGCCAAGGAATAGCCCTCAGGCCATCCGAGATGTAGATGAGTTTGTTTCTTCACCAGATTTGGAGAAATGTAGCATTGCATCACTTGCTCACCAATGGATCCTCTGCAGTGAATGGGTGCCGTCAGAATGAGAGTCCAAACAGCTGATAAAAACATCACAATAATCCACACCACTCCAGTCCATCAATTAATGTCTTGAGAAGCCAAAAGCTGTGTGTTTGTAAGAAACAAATTCATCATTAAGACATTTTTAACTTCAAACTGTTGCTTCTGACTAAAATATGAGTCCTCTATTCACAATATTGCTTTCTCCAGTGAAAAAGTCATCTTGTCTGAATCAGGAGAGAAATATGCACAGATCAAGCACAAAAACAGCTCTAAACAAATATGTCATTTTGATGTGAGAGGACAACAGGAGATGGACCTTTTTACTAGAGGAAGCGTGATTATGGACTTTTGGCCAGAAGCGATAGATTTGTTTCTTTCAAACATGCAACTTTTGGCATCACAAGATGTTAATTGATGGGCTGGAGTGGTGTGGATTATTGGGATGTTTTTATCAGCTGTTTGGACTCTCATTCTGACGGCACCCATTCACTGCAGAGGATCCACTGGTGAGCAAGTGATGGAATGCTACATTTCTCCAAATCTGTTACCATGAAGAAACAAACTCATCTACATCAATATTCTTCAAATCTTAATGTAATTGAATTCAGATTCCTCTCACTGAGTCATGTCTTGTCCTTTCTCAACTATCTGTTCATAAACCGAGTGAGAAAAGGGAGTTTCACAAGCTGGGATGAGTAGTGAGGTGGTTTCCTCACTCGCTTCTTAGTAACATCCATCAGCGTGAAATCTGACCTTAATTCATTTTTGTACTCTGAAATTGCTTCCACGCAGCTGGTAACCGGTGTTTGGGAACAGACCAGGGTTCCCACGCTTCTTGAAAGTACTTGAAAGTACTTGGATTTCAGACATATGGATTCAAGGCCTGGAAAGTACTTGAAAACAAACATAGGTCCTTGAAAGTGCTTGAATTAAATTTGAAATAAATTTTGTTTATGGCACTATTTCAAAAATTGTCCTATATGTTCTGTCAAAGAATGTTAACAGGTTTTACCATGTTATTACAACATTTAACCACTTTTTATTAATTTAAAAATTGAGAAATTCTTTCAAATTTAAATCTTGTACAAGAACTACAGCAAAACCAGTTTTATCAATATTTTAGAAATTGTATTTGAATATTACCAGTACTGATTTCATTCAATTCCGTTGAACTCGACTGCTCAAAAATGGTCTAGATTTATTAAACCTACACATTCAAAACATTATTACTCTGAAATGTTTAATGTAAATGTTAAGTGTAAGTAGTGAAATGTTAAGTACTGTAAGGTCTTTCATGACACTACATATGCTGGGGTGTGAATTTAATAGGTGCTTGATATAAAATAAATGGTGCTTTAAAAAGTCCTTGAAAGTCCTTGAATCTGGTGTTCATGAAAGAGTGGGAACCCTGAATTTAATTTAACCATTAAAACCGAGTATAGAAAAATGAAAATGAAAAAAAAAAAAAAAAAATGAATTTGGAAATAAAACGGATTTCATAGGGCCCTATAATTATAATTCATTTTTTTGTGGTAATAAAAATAGATGTAAGTGAACAATAGCCTTTAAAATGACTT